TGCGCAAGTGAGATCACGTCGTGCGAATGTAAGAAAACGGTTAGCGGTTGCAATGGTTGAATCTCATATTTCAATATACATTGAAAGATTTCGATATATTGATGTTTTAGACAGACGCTTGTTATAGTATGCAGTAAGATTATCTGATTGACGATGGCATCGCATGTAACGGGCTTTATATTCGTCGTGAGGAGATCATCTTTTTGATTTTTCATTTTGATCTGGGGCCAAAGTAATTCCTGTATACAGTGTTATAGATATACATATCAGTAACTCTATATATATAGCAGAAGTTGTTTGTGTGTGTCTCTGTGGCACCAATAGGAGAAGAGGCTCCGCCCACAATGGGCGGGGCCTATATTTAGCTGAGCGGTGTCTCTTGAAAACGTCAACAAAACTCTTAAACGCCGTCAACATTGGGATGGGGGTGAGGGCATGATGAAATTTTACCGAATACACAAACTGAGCTAAGCCTCGCACACAATAGACGGGGCGTGCACGGGAGTGAGTAGTGCCAACGACAAAAATTCGTAAAATTCCTCCGGAAGATCACAGGGACTGGGGACAAAATCATTCTCTATGGCGGACCAAGTAAAAATTTCGAAGTTCGAACCCGGAACTACCCGAGCAGCGGGAAAACGTGGAGTAAGAAGTCGGTCGAGTTTGAACGGAAGGCATACTTGAAATGGGCGTGTGAAGCAAAAATCACTTTTTCCATCAGTATTCTTGTAACAATAATGGCTGTTTTATGCATACGATCACCCGTGTATTCATGGCAGATTGCTGACACTTGGGCACATGAGGCAGTTGCTAACGCAGAACTTAAGCATTTTTTCATTCTTAATATTATCCCCTGAGGCGGAGATGGTGTAGTGACAAGTGGGGCGCTCACCATTCGCGCGGTCCCGGGTTCGAATCCCGGGTCGACTCCCGCCCAGGCCAACCAAGCCTTCTACCCTCCGGGGACGGTGAATTGGTACCAGATTCGTCTGGGAGGATAAAACACTGACTTGTACATCGGCTGGCCACCGCAAGTCATTGTATAGGCCACATCGCATTCAATAACCCACTACGATTCTGAATGGAAGTAGAATGCGTGCCGCATCCCACAAAGGGATTGATCAACGGCGAAGACTTTATCCTTTATCCTTTAATTGTCAGCTCATACAAAGAAGCTTCAAAAATATTTTTTGTGTGGCCGTACATAACAACATTATCCGGATTTGCTGATGCAGTCCATTCCGTTACGAGCTGCAAACGAAGGCAAAGAAGATGCGTGCTCTTATGGGCACTGACGAAACACTTCAGGAGATGAGCTCTTTTATCTTTATCACAATTTGTACTCTCAATTATGTCAGGTTTTTTTCTTTCTGAAGAGGCTTATTACATAAATGACGACGAAATGACAGGACAACATGGCAAAAAACCTTTTTTCCTTTTATTTATTTGTCATTGCAGCATTATCATTGTATCCTTTGTATGTATTGTTATGTATTGTTTTGAAAGGTCAAAGTAAAAAAAAAATGCTGCGTCCGACGAGATCATCTGTGGAGATCAACAAAGCACGATTAATGGCGTGGTAAATATTGAGGGTTGTTAGAACATATCGTTAGGGGAACGCCTAGTGCGTTCAAATTTGTGGTGCTATTAGGTCATCCCATTCAAAAGTGCCGTGACATATAGAGGAATGGCAGAAAAGCAAAGGGGATAGGGAAGCGGGCTACTATACCATTTGGAGGCTAGTACCTTTAGCTGTGTATCTGTGAAATTTGGCGAACCTACCCACAGAAGAAGTTCTCGAGAAATTGAAAAGAAGCCCGAGTGGTGAAAATCAGCGCCGGATTTTCAAATCAGACGTCATAAGAGGAAAGTGCGCTGCTCAAATTTGACCTGCGCCGGACCAGTAGTTGTGTTCTCGAAATACAAGGTGGAAGGTTTGGTTCAGGAGCCCGAAGAAGGAAGAAAGGAAAAAATTGTTGTCGTGGATGGTCCCATAATGTTCATCCTGCACAAGAAAAAAGGGTGGATGAAGTCAAGCGCTGAATGTCTGATCACAGAGCCTGGACCTTTGTCGAGCTTCCCCGCGAGTCTGACATCCCAGCTGCAACTGCTGCCCGAGTTATGTCCGATAAACTGAGGATGGTCAAGAGGGTGTGCGCGGTACCTAATTTTCTTGTAGAAGCACGAATGCAGTACCGATTCTATGCCTCTAGCAGTAATGTTCTCAGCATGAGATGTCATTCACGACTGTGAAAACGCACCCGGCCCTAGATGAAATATGGGTGGTCTTGGACCTCGAGCCGAAACTCACAATCGTCAATTTTGTATGAATGCAGATGAGAAGCCGCCCGAGTTCTACCATGAGGGGTTACGTGGGCGCAAGTGGATGATCATCATAGCGAAGGATTCCTACACTGAGGCTTTTAGGCGGCTCTATACAGAAAATAAAATCGTAGCTCGGCGTATATTGCCTGATCCTCGGCAATCAGATCGACAAATGCATGATACCACACAACTGCAAGAAGGCCACCGTTGCTCGTCATAGTGTCAGACCTGGAGTAACTGAATTGTAGGTCAGTGCTGGGATAGCAAAAAGCTACTGAGAATGGTTCAATCGCCCTATTCACCCACATAGAAGTTGCAATTTCAGCTGTCGCGGTCAGTACGGGGTACTCTCCGACAGGCAAAACGCTAACAACGTTTTTGTCATTCGCGAAATTGGCATCAACAGTTACTTAGTAATCTCATGGGGGCTTGTTGAAAAAGCGAAGGTACCAGAGGTGCGAACGCTGTCGGGCCCCTGGGAGCGGGTCATTGGTGAAGGAGGGATTTACTTAACTTGAAGCCAAAATAATACTTTTTAATCTGTTCTACTCTTTGTGCTATTCGAAAAAGAACCGACGTCACTTTTGAATGGGATGGACTTAATAATTCCGTTAATACCAGTACGTGCTGTCATTCCTGCCTGGTAGGTCGAAATTTGGTTGTGTTCAAGTGATAGTCGGGCTGACAGTATGTGGTGCGTATTGTGCTCGCGTAATGTTAGCGACCAGGCGTAAGGGCCGGCATGTTGAACGCTTACGGCTAATGCAGCACTTGGTGTCACTATCTGTCACTTTCATTTGCGTTTGAGTGCCATTCAGATGATCAAGTGTACGTCGTTCGTGTTGGGCGCTGTTGTCCTCGAAATGTTTGGAGGTGGTATGTGCCCATCCATGAGATGATAATATTCGGTGGGGTTGCCGTTGTAGACGACGTATAGCATATGTAGATATTGGTTTCCGGTGTGGTGTGTCGTCAGAGTGAAAAGTCCGCTTATAGCACAGTAACTTATTGAGATGTGAAGTACTTCAGTTATGGTAGCTAGGATGTCATAGACCAGATATTGTAATCAACTAGACATTATTTATCACGAATACTTATTTGAGGGAGGAGGAAGACCATTTGAGTAGGTATGACACCGTGGTTGTGTGGAGTGTGAATTCACGACTTTACTATGTATCAATCGTCAATGTAGATTTTTAATCAAGAGAATACATTCAGGTGGTCAGGAGTGCATTCACTCGTCCCAATTTGTATATCTATATGTTAACATGATGTTAATCATTAACATTAAAATTAACATGATGTTAATCAAAGGGATGCGTTCAGGCGGTAGGAGTGCATTAACTCGTACAAATTAACGTATTTGTATTGTTTTATTTCAAGGAAGGGGCGTTCAGCTGGTCAGGGCGAATAGGTTCATTCGCGTGGTTAGTACAATCAGTATTGTGTATGGAACTCATCGGTAGTGAGCGCGCGTGCGCAACGTATGGCCTAGTTACAGATGATCTACATGCAAACATATTACGTTATAGTCGAGCGGTGCGTAAAGCGATCAAGAGCCTGTCAGTAGCAGGAGGGATAATATGTTCAAAACTTTTAACATATAGAAAGAGTGCGTAAACTAGCGAGTAGAATCAGTAAAAAAGCGTATGTGTGGATGAAACGATAGGTACCGTATCCGTGCGTAATCACGAAGTTCGCAACTAGCTGAAAGCAGAATGTGACTGTGTGTATCGATATTTCACTCCAGTAGATGTAGTGTGGTTGTCAGTGTGTAGTGTGGTTACGAAGTGGTAGAAGTGCAGTAAACAATTATGACCTCCAATCCTTATCTACTAGGGCAAGAGGGGCGGGGCTATACACAGCGTAGATGAAAGGAAAAAGTGGAGCGGTGGAAAAAGCACGAAAGGGCTCAACTGCAGTGGGGTAGAGGTACAGTTCCTGGTTAGAGCGTGGTCGATACGATGTCAAATAGAGTTTCCGTCTTGTTCAGCGGGGGCGAAAAATACCGGGAAGAAGTCGGTGTCGTCGAAAGAAAGTATTCAAGTGATAGTGGATGGTGTAGAGTCGAGGACGTATCGTTTCACGATAGTATGCTTAGGAGTCTATAGGCTGATCGCGTAATGTATTCCTACAATGCGTATTATAGTGTCAGATGTGGCGCTGCTCCAAATCCAGCCACGAAACACCCCTGTATTTGCAACAAATAAGATTGTACCCCAAATGTACGACTGGTAGAACTCGTCCTATCCAAAGTCAAAAGCATCATCACGGAAGCGATCGGCAACACAAAGATTTTTCGCTCAAATTCACATACAGTTTCCTCAAACACCATGCAGCCAGGCAGACTTTCAATTAACCGTAACCTCAGATCTCTTCCTCTAGATGTAATATGCAGTGTTCCAACATCATAACAAAGAACTTCTTCTTCTTCTCCAGAGAAAAGCCAAAAAAAATCGGAAAGAAAGTCAAATTCTTGTTAAAATTTATACATAACAAACTAACAACAAATTTAAGGAATAAGAGTATAGAACCGGTTGACTGATAGGAACACAAGAACAACAACAAAATTTCAGAAGAACAAAACTGTTATTATTTGCATAAAACAATAATGGAAGCAAAACATAAAATAAGCGTGCTTAGAGGCATATAGCCAACGAGAGCTTGGCAGAGTATCATGCTTTGGTACCGCCTCCAATCTTTGCCTGAATACTTCCACCACCGATTGCGAAGCCGTCGCCACAATCCTTAAAATTAGGGCGAAATTCTTGAGAAAGCTCTACCAAGACAAAGAAAAAAAATGGAAGGATCAGGAGGGATAAATGTGTGAACGGTCAAGAATGGAGCTACGAATAACGGAAAAAGGTGAACCCTGCCTAAAATGTTGGAAGCTAGTAGAAAGAATAAATAACCGCGGAGATGCACGTCCATCTTGCGATATAGGTTCAGACCACAAAATGGCACTATCCGACCCTCCGCGTCCAGTTTAGCCGTGCGCCTTCGTCACAACCTTCGAATGGAAGTCGTAGCATTTCCATAAAATCACCCACTATAGGTCAGTTTGCTGTGCGTCGTGTCTGTTTGTTTGAGTTTCGTCTCTCCGGAAATTCGGTAACCTGATAGAACAACTTGGAGAGGGTCGGGTCAAGGGCGGGATGGAGTAGGACATGGGACAGTGAGAAAGAACCACAGAGACCCAGTGCGAGACCAGCCACGGTGGGCGGAAGAGCGCCGAAAGTTGGCGGTTCCGCAGACGCAGAATCATAATTTGCTTTCAGAGCAGCCGAAAGATGGGGAAACGTGGATCTAGGTTGGTGAGGGGTTGCCAGACTTATTAGGAGAGACACATCCGAAATGTGCCGCGTTTTCCACGAAATTCAGTAACTCGGTTTTCAAGAGTTTGGTTGAACCGCCCAAAAATTCCATGCATAAGGGCAACATCTGGCGAGAGCTGCGCATGCCTGTGGTGAGTTGAGACCTGCCCTAAATCATAGAGTGCTCATTCCAAAAATCTGTAGTTTGCTTCCAGAGCACTCCAGGGACCGGAAAAATATGAATTAACTTCAGCGAGGATTCGCAGATAAAAATGTGGGGCACACACACGTTGTGGGCGGAGCCTGGTCCGAGGAGGGCGGAGCCAGACAACAAAAGTCTCTAGCTTGGTTCCAAAGCAGTCCAGGTGCCAGAGCAAGGTGGGTTGAGGTCAGCCGGCTAAAAATGCGGGGCATACACGTTGCGGGCGGGGCCTGCTCTGAGGGGGGGGGAGCCAGACAAGAGAAGCCAGTAAAACTCGTTATTAAAATGTTCCAGGTTCACTCCAGACACCAAAGTGAATTATGGTCAGGAGAGGTACCGGTTGATGCGGAACACATCCACTGCGGGTGGAACCTGCGGCCAAGTGGACAAAGCCAGAACAGAAAAGACTGTGTCGTGAATAGCAGGTATGATGCTATTGGTCAAGGAGTGTAGAACATGTGTACAGGTGAAACCGGATAATTGTTGAGTATCCGAACATATAAAAGAAGGTACGCGGGCGATGCCGCACCCGCCCGGCGAAGGCACGCCGTATCACGGAAGGAGGCGCGCCGGCTTCAGCCGCCGATCCGACTGATTAACCATCTTGTCCTTCTGAACATTGTCCCGACAATATGGCTTCAGCCGCGTTCATTTGGTTAAAATGAACGCTAGCAACTTTTTGTAAAAAATTTTCAAGTTTTCATAGTGGAAAAAGTACTGTGCAAGAATTAAGCGATACTGTAACTTATGAAGGGCAGAAGTTATACCTAACCTGATCATCCATGCTCGCATCGCAGACGTTGTTTGTTCCGATGCGAAGAGAGTCAAAGACGGTGCCCAGATCTACGATAGGCACTTTATTCTCGCGCAACATTTCCCTAAACCAATAAACATGACTGTGTGGATTAACCGTATTTACTTGAGTATAAAGTTTATTTCACAAAGTCGCACGCAACAACGCGCGGGAAAATTTGTTAGCAACTTCAACAGCGTCTTTTTTGCACAGGATTTTCAAGCACATTCGCTAATTAAATGCAGATCATTTTATCAGAGGCGTTTTAAGTTAGATAAGAAAAAAATGCGAAAGTAAGCGCTTTTCAATCCAAAATGGATCCAAAAATCCAAAAATAGGGTCTTTTTATAAGTACACATCCTGCATTAGATAAAAAAAACAAGAAATGAATAGTAATGAGAATTGAAACCTGAGTTGCATAAGAATGACTCCTAGCACGTTGCGTCCTTGAGCAAAGTTCGGACAATGTAAAACAGTTTCAGAAGTTAGAGGGAATGTAGCTGGTATCTGAAAAGTATACAGCAGGTCAGTCCCGAACAGTGCTCACTAGAGGACGTGCAAAAGCTTTTTCGCAATGAGGGGGATACAGGCGATCTCATACTGCTATGGTGGACGTACGAACTTACTCGGATAGTTGTGGCTCCATTTGCCTTCATACTCTCACACCACTTTTTCACCTGAGCTTGACGGCACCTGAAAATATGCTGCATAAACAAATAAGGAGTAAAAGCACTTCCATGAGCCATCTTACCCGGAACCATAAATGCTGTCTCCAGGGAAAGCATGCACCAAAATCTTCTTACCGCTTTCCGAGAGCGCCTGGCGTAGAACCACCGATTGGGACACCTTCAAAGGTTGAACATCACTTACCAGTTGAGTAATTTTAATAAAAAGCTACGACAATTCCTTTTCTGTACCTTCGCCATCAAAGCCTTCTGCATGGCATCTAGACCTTTTGTGTATCGCCACTCATCGACTTTCTTCCTGTCTACCTGGAAACCCTCATATAACACTAACAAGGGAGGTCTTTCAGGTCGTGGCGCGCTTTTTAGAAATGGTTTGTTGCATGTTGTAGGGGTCCATATAAGGATCACAAAATGGGTTTCGTTTTTGCTATGCGTTTCTGGGAATGTCAAAAAATGAGTGAAAAGTTTGCTGAGGAAAAGCGATTTTTGACCATTTTCCTAGACTTTTCTAATTCTAATAATGATTATGCATAGCAAATGAGACCTTCGTTGAATCTACATAGGAAATAACACAATTCAAGGTGATAAAGTACTTTATTTGTACAGTGTGGTCGCATTGCAGATTCTCACGTGATTCTTGCAGCATCCCACCGCGCCGTAGGGTGATGGGGGTATTCGGAGACATGTTGACGCCAAATGGTTCGGCGCCGATTATAAAGGTCAGAACCATGATCAGGGCCATTAATAACCCCTATATACAGAAATTCAGCGAAATTTTTTCCTCGAGCTGTTCGAGTTATTATGATAGGTCTTCTTCAACTGGTGGCTATCAGTATCCTCTAGCTGTCGCTATCCTGCTCAGATAACTGGACCTTTCTATTCACAAGCAAATGCACCATAACTAACAACTACAAATTTTATAAATTTAAAAAAAGGGGAGATATATGTACTGCACAATATCTACACCTGAAGTGGAACCAGTACCGCTGCTTGTGCAGATCAGGTGCCACTGCGAACCAAGTGGTCGGTACATTATCACGACAATTACAAACAAATTTTTTTGCTGAAAGTTTCACAGTTATACAGGGGTGACTGATGGCCCCAATCACGATTCTGACGCTTATTTTATTCGCCGAGGACATTTGGCGCCAGCATGGTGCTAAACAGCCCATGCGTGCGGGTTGACAACGAATTCAGCGCAAGAAAGCTACTGCAACAAATCGGCGACAGGTTGCGCCGTGGTCAAAAATGAGTGTCGTACTCGTGAGTAGGGCATCCAGTCATCCCCGTAGCCCAACTTTCAGCAAGAGTTTCCTCAGCAGTGTTACGAGAGCGTAATAGTTAAGTAGGGCCGGTTCATGAACTATTAGTGCATAGAATGAGCATACATCCGTGTTATAACACAGGAACACAAGGAGACGTAAATCCGGAAAGTGAAAAAATTACTCCCCAGCGGACCCGATCTACAGTCGGCCTTACGGTTCAACAGCCCATCGAACTATCCACTGCGGCATCCGTCGACGAACAGCTAGAGAAGGAGTCATTGAAGAAACTCAAATACTACCGCTCTCCATGCACTTTCTTTTGACTTTATTTTGCTCTCTTTTCGATACATAGTGAAGGAACACCTCATAAACTATGCACTCTCAAAGTTACAGCTACAACAGAGCCCAATAAGACGGTTAAAATCGCCCTTTCTTGTCAAATTGTTTTCACTCATTTTTTGGCATTCCCATAAACGCATAGCAAAAACGAAACCCATTTTTGTGACCCTTATATGGACCCCTACAACATGCAACAAACCATTTTCAAAAAGCGCGCACGACTTGAAAGACCTCCCTTGTAAGATGGAACTATAATACAATAGTTAAAAACTACTCAATACAGCCGAGACCAAGTTTACTATCAAAGAGAAGAACCAACGTTATTAAGTCGAATCACTTCTTTGGCGATCTGGCTGAAACTCTTATCTCTGTGCTCACTGAATCCAACTTTTCCATCAAGACGACGTCCGTTCTCATCTCTGACTGAAATAGGACGACGTTATCTTCAGTTCATACAACATACACCCAACCTGGATCTAAATTTTTCGCGATGGGAAAGTATCGAACGAAAATGGCCAAAATGCCCAGAACTTTGCCTAGGTAACAAGTTTGTAATCGAAGGCTGTAAGATATGACTATTCGAAAAGACACTGCCATCATCTTGAGGAAGAGAACAAAAAGGATTACGGATATCCATACATCCCATTTCCATGAAAGACCAAGTGCCTCTTCACATCATTCTATACTCCCTGCCCTCTGAGCCATCCTCCCCGCAGTTGCGCCTATCAGCTTTCGATGCTATGGTAGCCAGTGTCCCCTAGTCTCTGCACACAAGGATTCGCAGAAGGACCATTCGCGGAAGTCGAAGTAGTCATGTAATCATGATTTTTTCACGTAAAGTATTAGGTTGGAAAAAAGTAAACGTAAAAGTAAAATAAAAAGAGTAAACGTCCGTCATTCTTTCCTTGTGGCCGACATACACGTTACCTACTTTAATACAGTACAATAATAGCCCGGCTTGCAAGCACCGATATAAGCGGGACTCTGTGGCATGACAAGCGACATCCTTCCTCAAGAACGCAGGTGTTGGCTCCCTCGAGTACGACAAAGTGGCCCTAGAGGAACTCATAACATGGGATGGGTTAAAAAGACTATTATTGTACTGTATTAAAGTAGGTATGTACTTCACCTTTCGGAAACTTTTATGCTTCGAAAGCTTCTATAGAGCCTTAATATAGCCCCTGCAACAACTTCAGGGAACCTCTCCACCAACCAGAGGTGGAAACATTCGGAATATATCTCGACTTTTTTTCCCAGAATAATCAGTTCAATGTGTAGCAGGATATTTTTTTAACCTGTTGCCCGTAATCTAAAAAAGCTTGTGATCGATAATTTGAGTCATGATTCCCGAGTACTACCCCTTCTCTTAGTATTGCACTCACTCGTTTTCTGCTTCTTTGTTGCGATATGCACAGCCATTTTGTCCTCGAGCGTACCCTCTCCCACCTTTTTTCTTCTACCACTCTGGTTTGAGTATGAGAATAATCGTTGCCAGAATGAGGGAAAGCATGAGGATTATACCCCCCGCCTTCCACCCCAGTAACAACAGAACTATAGAACTCCTTAAAATAGCGCGCTATTCATTGTGTAAAAAGTTCTTTTCACTTTGTGAAAGTTGTAAGAGCAACTTGGCAGTCGTGACAAACGTGATAGGAGCTTTCCCATCGACGTTTAAGATCTGATATAAAAATCGCCAACACACCTGTTTCAGTCAACTTTTCACTGACAGTCCCACACAAATCATGAACTTTTTGAATTTGGTAGTAATGGTCGCCACTTTCGTAAATCTTGCCATCGATCAACACGGGGAACTACAAAAAGAAAAATCAGAAGAGATAAAGGTTATTGTTTTGAACAAAGGAAACAAACTGTGTGCTGGGTTGTAAAAACGCTGGAAAACCCGTGGAAACAGATGAAATTGTCCGGGTCGATAGTCAGTGTTATGGCTGGTGCATCTTCAGGAATTGGAACGAACTGAAAATGAACATAATGGAACTCAGAAAAAAAAACGGCAAGATTAAGCTATATAATGGTACAAGAAAGATTTACCGGAATGTCCATGGGATTATTACTAGGCTTAGGAATGTATCTACGACCACCACGTCCACCTCTACCGCCTCGCATCATTCCGAATCCACCGCGAGGCATTCCAGTTCCGAACGGCATGTAGCTCATGTTCTTTCTCACTCCTTTAATAACAAGATACTCTTAATAGTTGGAGGGTAAAGACTCTGTTGTTTATGCACCGAACCATTCAGACTTCGCTAACGCGCGATTGCACGCTCGATTGGATTGCGCGATCACGACCGGGGCGCTCCACTGCCAAATGGTGAGCCGCAACAACCGCACTATTCAAATTGGTACTATTAGGTTGTTCGAAAAGTCCTGCGACACTTTGATTGAATTGTTCTAGAAAAAGACCAAAAATCATTTTGGATGTTTTTATCCCTGATTAGTGGAGACTGTCCTCTGGGGTTTCTGCACATGGGTATATCATGACTTTGTGGAAGTTTTCAAAGCTTAAAAGTCCCTCAGAGATCGAGGTACTTTTCGACCTATCCCATATTATGAGTTCCTGTAGGGCAACTCCGCCGTAGTCGAGGAAGCTAAGGCTGCGTTTATACTTTGCGGCAGCGTAGCGTAGCGTAGCGCAGCGTAGCGTAGCGCTTCCAGCGTACGCCAGCGGCAGTGCCGAAGAGAGGATGCATATCGATCTAGCTTCACCAGCGTCACCAGCGGCACGCTGGCGTACGCTAGCGTACGCCAGCGTTTCTCCAGCGTTTCACCAGCGTTTTGCTAGCGCTTGCAGCGGCAGGGGAGTAGAGACTATGTGGCCGTGAGAGACGCGGAATCGACGTGTATTGTAGAGACCATGTGGCCGTCGGAGACGCAGAAGCGATGTGCATTGTAGAGACTATGTGGCCGTCGGAGACGCAGAAGCGATGTGCATTGTAGAGACTATGGGGCCGTCGGAGACGCAGAAGCGATGTGCATTGTAGAGACTAAGGGCGAGTGAGAGACGCGCAATCGATGTGTTTTGTACCCTCCAGCTCTCCCATAGTCTCTACTCCCCTGCCGCTGCAAACGCTAGCAAAACGCTGGTGAAACGCTGGAGAAACGCTGGCGTACGCTACGCTAGCGTACGCCAGCGTGCCGCTGGTGACGCTGGTGAAGCTAGATCGATATGCATCCTCTCTTCGGCACTGCCGCTGGCGTACGCTGGAAGCGCTACGCTACGCTGCGCTACGCTACGCTACGCTGCCGCAAAGTATAAACGCAGCCTAACCTTACAGGGTTGGCCATAATTATAGCGACAAGACTTGCTGCAGTTAGCGTACATTCTATCGCGCACATAGCGTGAAAATAGTGAAATGGTGAAGCCTTCTCCTGATCGTTCCGCTATCGTTCGTCTGCACAAAGCCGGCCGCCCACCCGCCACGATCGCTAAGCACCTCGGCATCCACCGCAGCGTCGTGTATCGCACACTCCAACGTTATCGAGACCTTGGTGGACTCCAAGACCGCCGAAGAAGTGGAAGACCTCGTACTGCTCGCACGCCGAAGGTCGTCGAGGCCGTCAGAAAGCGGATAGCAAGAAACGCGACTCGGAGCATCTCGACGATGGCTCGCGACATGGGAATCTCGCGGAAGTCAATGGAAAGGGTCGTCCCACCTTAAGATGTACCCCTACCGTACTCGGAAGGCTGCTATCCTCAGCGCCTCGAATCAGCAGGCGCGAGTCAAGAAGTGCCGACAGCTTTTGCTTCGGACGCGCAACAAGGGCCACCATTCGATCGTCTTTTCGGATGAGAAGCTCTTCACCGTCGAGCAGCAGTTCAACGCTCAGAACGTCAGAGTGATCGCAAGGAATGCCGAGGAAGCCGACAAGAAGGGAAGAGTCGTTCACCGGGCCGCACACCCTGCCCAAGTCATGGTTTGGGCAGGGGTGTGTGCCTCGGGGAAGACGCCGTTGATATTCGTCGACCCCGGCGTCAAAATCGACAAAGATTACTACCTGAAGACGATTCTGGAAGATGCTCTACTCCCGTGGGCGAATTCCCACTTCAACGGCCGCCCGTGGACATTCCAGCAAGATTCGGCGCCCGCCCACAAGGCCAAGGTCGTCCAAGCGTGGTGCAAGAGCGAACTCCCCGACTTCATCTCGGCAGAAGAATGGCCGGCATCGTCACCGGATTTGAACCCACTGGACTATAACTTGTGGTCCTACCTTGAGAGCAAGGCCTGCGCCACTCCCCACCCCAATTTGGATTCTCTGAAGGCAGCGCTCATCCGAGAATGGGACGAAATCGACGCCTTTCCCAAGCGACTCCGCGCTGTCGTCCGTGCCAAAGGTGGCCGAATCGAGAAGTAACTTATGATTGTTAATGTACCAGTTGTTACTTAATAAATGTTATGTTCATGACTCGTTTGCACTTTTGCTTTCTGAGATATAAGGTGAAAACCTTGTCGCTATATTTATGGCCAACCCTGTACGTTGTCTTGAGGAAGGAGATCGCTTGCCATGAAAGAGGGTAGCTGTTGCATCAGCGCTTCCAGGCTGGACTTATTTAACTCGTAGTTAGGCAATGTGTAGGTCGCCCACCAGCACAGAATGACGACCCTTTACTCAAGCTTCTTGAGGCGCAGCCGAAGGTAACCACCAGTAAGTTGGCAACCTCTCTAGGCTCCACCTGCCTGACAACTTCCGTGCTTCTCCGCAATCTCGTTATCGGAAAAATTCTATGTGAAGGATGCCTCATGAGTTGGACCCGTCTGACAAGTCATACCGAATGACCGCATGTGGGAATCAGGCCACGTCAAAAAATCATGAATTTTGATCAGAGAATGCGACCGTACCCAGGTTATTCAGCAAAGTTAGCGGCCTCTAATTATCACCTCTTTTGGTCCCTATTGCATCCTTTGAAGAGCAAAAAGCCCGAAAATCGACCTCAACTCGAGAATGAGGTCCACCTCTTCTTTTTATCATAGTTGCCGTAGTTCTATGAGAATGGAAATGAGAAGCTGTGCAAAAGAAGGGCACTAGTCCTAGTCATCAACTGCGGTTACCTTGTAGATTGGAGATGTCTTTTAGTGACAGAAAATTTAGTCCGAAAAATTTGGTCCAAAGTGTCGCAGGACTTTTCGAACAACCTAATATAAGCACTGAACCGATAATAGTGATTTCCCAGTCGCTCAGAACACTGCACGCTCAAAACGCCGACGCAAAGTATGAACCCACTGGACCAGTGGACCAAAGGATGAACCTATTCCTAGAGGTAGGTCTGCTGTTAACTACGATAATATAGTCCGATAACAACGACATAACAATTATTACAGAGTAAACCTGACCAGAGCCAGCTCCAGGTGTTGCTCGCTTCGAACCCGCTTCGCTATTCACCGCTTGAAGTTTACGCGGTTGCTTGTTGTTCCTTTTTGGCGATATGATTTTGAGCACCGAAATATCAGGCTGATTGGGTGATGCTGTGCGAATTCTTGATGGTTTCTGATCGTCTGAAAAGGTCTAAAAGTTAATTCGCTTCTATTAGGTTGGCGGGAAGTTCTGTCATACTTTTTTGAACTCGAAATACTTGCCCATTACCTGAAGAGGGGTAACCGGTAATGTGAGCACTTATACATCAAGGAGTGGTCTTTCTATTAGTACCACTCGCTTGACTCCTGCTTCTTCTTCTGCAATATGGACAAGAATGTTATCCGCTACCATCGGCACTGACCCAAGCGCTTCTTCCTCAAACTCTTTCTTCTAGCCCCTGATGCCACCATGACAGCTGATGGGGCCGCATAAGGACGACGCCCTCAGTTAACGGGCAATCTTCACGACGCTAATGCTGCAAGGCGGGAGTATATAGTTTCGATGACGAAGTTGTTGGTTTGGTTTGGTGTACATGTGAACTCAGCTTCAGTGTGTTGCGGGCCGTGAAACTGATTAATGAAGAAGCTGCTTTCTCGATCAATACCCACACAGAGCAGCTACAAGATCTGAAGCGAGTCGTCGTCAGAGGGGTGAATTTGTCCGCAAAGTCTGCTCTCAGCATAACAGTGCAGCACACTCCGTCTAAAAAAGGTCGAGCTAAAGCTCATGCAGTAGAGCTGGATGACACTCTCTTTGCACCGCGGCAACCCAAACTATACACTTTCTAAGAGCTAGCTTTCTTCCCCATACTACCCCACTATGTGGACGAGAAAAGCTACACGACCCGAGCCCAAGTTGAAATAGGGATGATCTTCAAGTTTTCGTCGCGTAGGTCCGCAATATCCATGAGGTGCTCAAAAACTGGCAAGCATCTCCGCTGTAACAATGCTGTACAATTTTGATCTTGTACGTCTCTCTATAAAACGAAAGCCTAATTTGAAAAAATGTGACAGACTTTTCCCACCAACCTGAAACTTTATGCTTCTGCTAACAAGGAAGGGACGGTAGTTCGAAGTGATCGGTTTTTTGCAATGAGTCATGTCATGTTCGCTGCGGACGTAAGGATGTGTCACTGGCAGAGCTCAGTTTGGCACAGCGCGTGATGAAATATGGGCTGACCATTTTAGATGACCACTTCGACCGACCATTCTTTCCTGGTAAGCTGAAGGACTCACCACTACTGTGCGGTGTCTCCTCCGCCTTACACAATTGTGAATTCGAAGAAGACGATTCAGTAGCAACTTGCTGAGCACTTGCGGATGACTTCGTTTTCGTTGTATTCTTTGAAGTCTTCACGCCCTTATTCTGAAGGATATGCTTGATATTTCTAGCGTCACTCTGCTTCTCAAAGACGAAAGCGTGCAGTTACCTCCGACGGCCAATCACTTGCTGTGGCGCAGACAAAAGTGCCGGGCACAGGCCTGTAGGCGAAGTGCTCTGAGTGCCTCTTCAACAGGCGTCTCTACATTATCCCACTCCGCCCCCCCTCCCCTTGCTATACTTTACGGTGGCAGCACCTAGGTCTACAGCAAGCCGAACACGCAGACTATCCAGAAAAGAAAGAACGAGCAGGCGAGCGCGTTCGGCGCATGCGTTGTTAAGGCAGCTGGCCCCAAAAAATCTCAGGGAATGGCACATAGAAGCCTAGCAAGATTGGAATTCGGCGCCCCTGCAGCATGCGCTGCAGGGGCGCCTTCTAAAGTGGTACCCCTACAGCGCCCATCAGGCTGCAACGTAATGACCCGGACGCCCACCGCGCCCACCCGCCCACAGATGTTACCTGTTGCTCAGCTCATATTGCTTCATTTTCTAACAAGGGAAGGATGGTAGGTCGAAGTGGCCATTTGAAATGAGATGTATACCGACTGAAGGGTCTTTGGACGGGGATTACGAAACCGTCTTCCATATCTGCTGCGGACCTCCCAGAACAAAGTTACGGGGCCTGTTTAGGGGAAACATGGTGACATTCTATACAGATTAGCGCGTGAGTCCTCATCCCTAAAGCAGCGTGGCCGACTGGATACGTTGCAGGTCTCGTCGTCACATTGTCGAGGGTTTGGATCCTTGATACGTTTTCCGTCTTTCTTGTGGTCTCTATGCATTAAAAACCATTTTTGCATAACTCTTGTGCTCGAGAGTGCCGCCGAAGAGTGTTTCTAAACTATGGAGCCATTATGGACAACTCCATGCGGATTCTTGGCTGTTGAATTTGTCATACGAGCTGAAGACTTTCAGCAGGTGCGAAAGTACCGCTTTAGGATAGAACATCTTTCAACACTACACTGAGTGATAAATGAAGGTTTCTCCCATCACGATCCGAATTGTGACGTCAAAGCCAGTTCGTAGGAAAGCCCTTCCAAGGATACTCAATGAAGAAGAAATCAACAGCCAAGAATGGACACAGTTTACCCATCACTTTCAAAATCATCGAAAATTTGGCCAGTTTTGAACGACTTTTTTTTCGCGGGCAAAACTGGCTAAACATTTTTCTCATAGGGTAGTTTGAGCTCCTGAATACGAATATCACATCCGCTCGACCCGAAACCTCCTGGCGCTCGCGCCACAGGCGCCGGCGCCAAAATACCCCAAATCACCGGCGCCTGTAGCGCGGGCGCCAAGAGATTTTCGGCCAAGCGGATGTGTTATTCGTATTCAGGAGGTCAAACTACCCCAGGAGACAACATTCGAGCCAAGTCTGTCCACGGAGAAAAAACTCGGTCAAAAACTGGCTCGATTCCGGATGATTGGGGCAGTATAGGGTAAACAGTTGCCCAAGGAATCGTCCACAATGATTCCATTCGTTCAGAAACATTCTTTGGCGGCATTCTCGAGCACAAGAGTTATGCAAAAATGCTTTTTAATGCACAGAGACCATTGTAGAAAAAATGCAAAACAGAAAACGCATCAAGGATCCAAACCCTCGACAATGTGACCGTGAGACCTGCAACGTATCCACTCGGCCACGCTGCTTCGAGCGGTGAAGCCTCACGCCGCTAATTCGTATTGAATGCCACTATGCTCCCCCTAAAAAGGCCCCGTAACTTTGTTCTGGGAGGTCCGCAGCAGATATGGAAGACGGTTTCGTAATCCCCGTCCAAAGACCCTTCATACGGTATACATCTCATTTCAAATGGCCACTTCGACCTACCATCCTTCCCTTGTAAGGATAATATGAAGTGAAGGAATTCATATGGAGCAGGCGCGGTGCTGCACGCATATATAAGCAAATACATGCACCCCTCTCTTCCATAGCGGTTATTGGCAAGATGCCAACGGGACTCGTCCGAAATTGCTTTCTCAGTCGTGTAAAACCAAGGATTTTCATCGTAGGTTTTTGACAATCTCACTTCGTTTCTTTTCCGCCACTTTCCCATGTAGCACCCTGCTAGCATTTTAGACCGAGCACCACACCATTGTGCCTTCGACCTGGTAATGAGAAAGGAGAGGGTACAGTTTGTTATTAAACATGACCACAGAGGACTACGGCCCAACCCAACGGGAGAGTCAAAGAACCGCAAGCTAGCGATCCTCCTGTTCTCGCGATCGATATATATCAAACCCTATCCATCAATCCATTTTCGCAGGGACAATAAGGACATTTTCGAAACAATAAAAGGCGACTAAGTAATAAACTGTAGACCTTTTTAGCACGTGAAGTGTTTCCAATATTGCGGCCTTGAGCTGAGCGATTCGACTGAAAAACGGCTCGGCGAGTCTGGAAGGGAAACAGTCAGTGACCGATGCTCTCAAGAGGAAAAAAGGTATCCACTATCGTCAGAGCACAGCCTTCTTCTTCGGAGCGACTAAAAAGGTTCAAGAGGGTCCAGTTTGTACAAACGATTAAAGGGTACACGATACATTGTAAAAATAATTGGAAGGTAGATATTTTCCACATAGGCAGTCGTTCTTCCCTCACCACTAAAAGTGTGGCAATCTCGCCACTTGGAAGCAGCCGGCAATGGCGCTTGAAGCTTCTGATTCTTCAGGCAGCGCTCATAGCTTGCGATAGTAACGAAATGCAGAAACGCAGAATTGATGAAAAGTGTATAAGGCTGTATATTATACATTAGGTACAGGGGGCCAAAAAAGTCACTTTGACCGAGTCACATATCAGCAAAGTTTTCGCTGCCCAGACAGAGGACGTGGATACGAGTACCAGGGCGGAAGATACCCAAGATGTTCCTCTATAAGCAGGAGCTGGCTCTCGCCCATCACCTTCATGTACACCAAAATATGAAGTCATCTCCAGTCGCAGCCTGACTGGAGAAGACCTTTGGAATTCATGTCACCTCCAAACAGCTGCGAAACTTCTAGTATGGAGTCACCCATGGATAGCTACCTGGAGACCAGTACTCTCGATCTGGAAGACCTCCAACATCGAGCAGCTCCGACAACGTCGCTACGGTCTAGGACATCATCTTCACCGCAGTCGCCAAGGCGCGGGTGATGGTATGGACCTGAGTACCTGGAACTGGAAGACCGATTTTCTTCGTGAACTCCGGACTGAAGGTGAGCGCTGGCGATTACATCAAGCAACTCGAGAAGAATATCCTCCCACATGTCGTCGCCCGTACCTTCTTGGAAACTTTGTACTGCTACAGGATTGGGCGACACCACGTGGATTCGAAGGGCGTTGGAAAACTCTCGCCCACTTGGAATGGAAGGACGTTGATTACAATTACCCGGTTCGGGCGGAGCTCAACAGGGCGGTCTAAGTGGCGAAGAAATCGACTGTCTCGCTGAACTCATGTACCCACTCGTTGCAACAGCGCTCCAGTGATACAGACGGGAGTATAGTCGCAGCCGGGTATCGATGGGCGCTGGCTCCTACTGTTCTAGGGATTAGGAGAAGAACAGAAAATCAGATTGTGCGGGTTTTGGAGAGCATAAGAACATAGTAGAACGAGACAGCGTACCGCGCCAAATCCCTTGTTCCCCTATACTCTCAAAGTTGCAGCGGCCGGCGCCGATCGAGAAACATTTATAGCGGATAGATGGGAGTCACTGCAACGATAGCGTCAATAACGCGCTTTGTTTTAGGTTGATTCAAAAGTCCACAGACATTTGAAGCTTAAGATTTATTATTGCGCACAAAAATGAAGCAACAACAGCTAGTCATCTGAGATGAGCTCCATTGTTCGTCTCCTCTATGTTCTTTTGCCAACGAGTGGACAGACCGCAGATGCCCTTCCCACAGAATGCGGTTAGCTGGGCTTTCTTTTTACCATTCAAGTCTTGCAGCTACGAGAATAAGTGGTAGTCAAAGGGTACAAGGTCTGCAGAGTATGGTGGGTGAGAAAGGACTGTCCAGCTATACGTCACTAGTTCACACTTCGGCGCCCTTGCAATGTGTGGTGTGTCACTGTCATGAAGCACACTTTTGTTTACTTGCCCCATGTGTTCGTGAGGTGAGACTTCAGATTTCGTAGCTGAGCAACGTAGATGTCGGCAGTCACTGTTATACCTTCTTTCAGCAGCTCCCAGCTAACATCGCTTTCGTTTTATGCAGGCCAGGTTCCGGGAGGTCTTCTGCTTGTCCTCCTTTTGTCTACCCATTGGGCACGGCGGCGAATGTTGGAGTATAGTACCCACTTTTCATCTCCGGTGATTAGGTTGTCCAGCTACGAATATTGGCCGAATTTTTGAACCTTTCCTATATTCAAGCAATAGACCACTGTCAGTTGGCTGACACCAAGCGTGGAGGACAGCTTACGCTCACGACAGCTGCTTTGGTATGAGTTCGCCTCCACCTGCTCCCGTCGTCCATGCACAGTCGTTGGCCGCCCTGTCGTTGCGTCATATTCGATTGGATCATCGCCTTCTGTGAACACGGCAGACCAAGAGTAGACGAAGCTGCTTGCAGGAGCATTCTCCGCATAAACATCCTGCAGGCGGACGTGGGACTCATTGGGATTGAGGCCAGGAAAACAACAGGAACAACATGACGTTGCGGAATGGTGTTCAGAGAGCGGACATTCGGGCAGCATATTAGACACAAGCTGCTGTTTAGACAAGCAAACGTTCAGAATGGTTTTGTATAGCGTTCTTTTCGCTTTTGAACGGCTCTTCAAGCTGCCCGGAGATCTAAAAAATGGCGGTATAAACGTTTCTGAATGAGAAAGTCAACAAATGTCAGGACTTCTAATCAACCTAATAGCTGGTCGAATAATTGTAGTGGTCGCGCCCCATCGCGCAGTCTGAATGCAGCCTTACAAGTAGACGTGTGTCAAGTGGCCAGATAAGGGCTCGCCAGTTATCCTTGCATTAAAGTCTTTTCTATTGCACTTTTTTCAGATTAAATCAAAACTCCTTGTGTGACAGCGATACCATTCGCTGTTAGTTGTAGTCAGTAAAGTCTAGCTACA